CGGGAGTTCTGATGACTCGAGCTCGGTTCTTGTGGTTTATGATGTCACCGGGACCCATCGATGGAGCCGTAGCCCCATAATTCACCGTCGCCCTGTTATTTATTCTGTGCCATAAATGGCTGCAGTTTAATCACCAGACTAAATTGCTGAAGCATCTTTGTGGAAACTGTGATGTTACTGTAGCAGTAACTATGGCAACAGCCATTCCATCGTGGTGGCTGATGCAGAGGGAACCAGTAACTCTGAGCCCTGTGCACCCAGCGAGACAGGAGCGAGTGCCACCCTCAGAGAGGGGAACCTGAGGGACAAGCCCAGACACGCTCTCAGTGGAGAAAAATCCATTAATTGCTGCTCAGGTGCATGCACTGCGTGTCATTCGTAGTCTCTGGGAAACGGGTGTGGATCCAGACTTCGCCAGCCTCAACAGACTTCTGGTATTGATTTCATGCAAAGAGATTTTTGGGGAAAACTCCTGACTCCTCTGTGGGCATAGAAAGCAAACCCATCTTTTCTGTGCAGTTTTTGGTTTGTTTTATTCTTCCTTTTCCAGGTCAGGTAGAAAAAAAGAACTGAGGGCCCTTGAACCAAATGGTTCAGCACTTCATATAATTCAGGTTTATGTTTGGGTTTTGTATGGACAAGAGAAGCAGGAGATTCATCTGCACTCTCCTAATTCTTCTTGGCTTGTGGACTTGTGTCCCTCTCCTTACAAGGCCTTGTAGGATCTTAGATTTTAGTGCTGGTGAGGCATAATATACCTTGATGGTACATAAGGTTCCTTAATTCTTTTTGGCAAAATGCATTTGCCAACCTATTTAATGTCATCTGAAGATGCCTGGTGGTTGTGGATGTGCAGTTGGCACTGGAATGAGCACAGGGCTGTGATGTAGTATCATAATAGAGCATTATTATGACATAAATATTATTTATTGTTTCTTAGTGAAGTGAGATTTATGAGAAGGTTTTGCTTTCCAAATCTTAAGTTTCCATTCAAGCCTCGAATTTTGTAGATTCCCCCCCCCCCAAAAAAAATAAAGCTCTAACTAAAACCTCTCTTTTTTTCTGATTTTAAGAAAAAAGTAAGACACTTTTCAAATATATCTGTGTCTCCCTTCCTTTCTCCTTTACTTCTCTCCACTTTCTGCATTCATTAATTTTTCTCCTTGGGAAAGAAATGAGGGGAAAACCCATTCTCTGTCCATCCTCTTTCAATACCCTGTGAATGTTTGCAGTGCTCAGCTCTTTTTTTTCCCCTCATTCCCTCTGCTGAGCAGCCCTGGAGAAGTCCCACAGCACATGGTATCAGTGCCCTGACAGTCTGCTGCTTATGGGAAATGTCATTTTACAATGTAACTTATTATTTTTAACTAAAGGTTTATGATTTTCTACAAGGATCCATTGTTTTAAGCCACGTAGCCAACATGTGTTTCTTGAGGTATCACTTACCTTTTAAGCAAGTAGCAGTTGAGTTTTGGTCAAGCCAGGCTTGGCTGTCTCTGGATTCCTACAATTATTCCGTCCTGGTAACCTGATACAGCCCAGCAAGGGAAGAACAGAAAGAAAAGCCTTTTAATTTATGGTGGGTCTCAGTTCTAATCTTGTAGTTACGTAGACTTCGACTTTACCGTGAATCATTTTTAATGACAGTTGAAGAGAAAAGAATTGAAAAGCAAATCTTACCTTTCTCATCACTGGCAGCTTCTCATAACAAATCAGACTTTTTTATGGCACAGCCTTGCAGTGTGGGTATGATGCACGTGAAGGGCTGTCCAGCAGGAGAGCAGAGCCTTTTCCTGCCTAGCACAGGATAGATCTTTGCAGAAGCAACTTCAGAGCTGTCTGTGAGCTGCAGTTTTTCAGCTTGTGGAGTCCTAAATGCTGTTTGTGGAGTCTCTCATAAGGAAACTTGTGTTTCCTCATAAGAAACTTGACTTTCTTGGTCACCTTTTAGAAGGCTTTGGAAGTTCTCCGGGAACGTGCCTGGAAAAAAGGGTGGAAAAAGTTGATGTCAGAAGCCCTCACGGACTTGAACGTAGCCAGAATGTCCCTCCTTCCCTCCAGCGAGCCTGGTGGCATCTGCATGTAAAGAGAGATCACTGAGGGGGCTTGGGGGTCACCAGTTACAGCCCCAAGGCTGCCAGAGCTCAAGGAGTGTTTGGACAACACTCTTGAGGATGTGGTGGGATTGCTGGGGTGTCTGTGCAGGGCCAGGAGCTGGACTCAATGGTCCTTGTGGTCCCTTCCAATTGAGGATGTTCTATGATTCTATTTGCTTTGGAGCCCATGCTGTTGGTCAGAAAAGGAAATGGTCTGCAGCAGTTGCTGGTTTGGTGGTTTGATCCCCGTATGGGCCATTCGCTCTAGAGTTGGACTTCCATGATCCTCGTGGGTCCCTTCCAACTCAGAATATTCCATGATTCTCTGTGATCTTGCCAAGAGACCCGATTTAAAGGGTCACCTTTCTTCAGCAGAGCCCATGGCTGTGCACTCAGTAGTCAGAAGGCAGGAGTTTAATGCTGATGCCCCGAGTGGGGCAGGAGAAGGTGCTGTCAGAGCTGCTGCTGTGGTGCCCGGTGGAGTTAACAGAGAGATGCTCTCACTGTAATTGGATACTGGCAGTATCCTGCAGTGCATCCACGTGGCAACTTCCCATCAGCACTAACGTGGCTTTCTGAAAGCTCCTCTCTGTTCCTGGCATGGTCACTCCTCGTTGGTGCTGTTGGGAACTCCCCCACCCTTTGTGAGCTTGGCCATGCTCTGGGAGTGTCACTGGCCTGGGCCAGGCTGGAGCTTTTCAGTGCTGCTGAAAGAAAACCACGACATTTCTTGGAGCCCAGAGGAGCAATGAGATGCCCTGCATAGCGTGAATCCCACATCACCACAGACTTTGCTTGGCTTCTGTCGTTCTTGAGTCTCTTCCACGACCTCCAACTTTTTCCTGTGTGGAGACATGATTCCAACTTAGGTTGGCTACACGCTGTGTTCTTTCTGACACATTTTGACAAATTGGGTTTGATTTTACCCTGGAGGTCTTTCCAGACTTAATTTTATGATTGTGGAAGGTCATCAAAAGGGTAGTGCTATTTAAAGACCAAATTGTGTCACATTTACTCACGGGACTAATGCTCTTTTTCTTGAAGATGTCCATTCATTTCAGTGGAACTACACATGGAGTAAATGGCACCAGTTGTAAGCAGAGGCACTTGAGCCTGCCTTACTCATCTCAGTGGACTACTGAGAGAGTGAAAGTCAAGTCCTTGTCCTTGCCATTGATTTTCCAGCCCCTGTTATTTGGAGGTGGTTTTCTGGCCTCCCCTAGTGACTGCCCACATGGGGATTTATGAGTGAGATCCAACCTTTTTGCAGTCAGAAACAGCCATTTCCACCCCAAGAGTAAATGGCCTAAATTTTAGAAGTGGCATTTAAAATCCTGAGTTTGTTCCCCTTTGCTCACAGCACTCTCAGGAGCATCACTTTCCAACTTGGTGGATCACATTTCCAACCTGGTGGGGCTTCTTATGGCACTGGGAACTGCTCACAGTGGTTAAGGGTGAGGCAATTCATACTGATGTTAATGTGGTGGCACAGCCCTGGTTATACTCCCATAGTCCTAAGGTTCACGTTCCTTAATGGAAGCTGGATGTTTTTGGGGTTACAGCTGCAGTACCAAAGGGAGAGCCACGAGTTCAATCAGAGAATTTTTTAGGATGGAAAAGCCATCTGAGATCATCGAGTCCAACCATTCCCCCAGCACTGCCAGGCCCACCACTAACCCATGTTCCCAAGAGCCACATCCACAGGGCTTTTGAGCACCTCCAGGGATGGGGACTCCACCACTTCCCTGGCTATTCTGTGCCACTGCCTGAGCACCCTTTTCATGAAGAAATTTTCCCTGATATCCAATCCACACTTCCCCTGGCACAGCTTGAGGCCATTTCCCCTCATCCAGTCCCTTGTTCCTTGGGAGCAGAGCCTGATATCCTCCTGGCTCCCCCCTCCTGTCAGGATGTTGCAGAGCCAGAAGGTCCCCCCTGAGCCTCCTTTTCTCCAGGCTGAGCCCCCCCAGCTCCCTCAGCTGCTCCTCTGTGAATCAGAATGTATGACCTACTGAATTACAGTGAAACCCAGGGTGAGGCTTGGAGTCAATAATGAAAAGGTATTTTTCAAGGACTTTCTTTTTCTTATTCTTTTCATACTACTGGAACTGCAAAAGGAATCTCATTTAAAATATGAATTAGAAATTTTATACTTCTTATGGCTCTGTGTTCTTGAGAAGCAGATACTTATCACAGGCCTGTTTTCTTGGGGGAGTGTGCAAGGAGCTTTTGGAACAGGTTTCCTACTTTTTGGCTAACGAGGAGTGGGACAATTATTTATTCCAAGAAGCTGGAGCAGGGTTGACAGCCTGGGGGTAGACCTGAAAGAACAGTAACACTTTAGGCTTTAGTTGCTCTGAGATCCTTTAGAAACAACTGCCTTGATCTTTTAGTGCCCTGGTAAATCATTTATTCTGATCACCTACTTCAAATTCCCTCTCACCCATCCTGTGGGATGGAAGGAGCTGGGTACAGAGCTCCTGGCCATAACCCAGCAGGTGAACTGCAACAGTGCAGAGCTCCAGCCGGGCTCCCAGAGCACCTGGCAAAGCTCCTGGGTCAGGAGCAGCCCCAGAAATTCAAATTCCTCTGACAAACAGGGTGTCTGGAGCTGGAGGTTTTGGATGGGATTTCTCCCCTCTCAGGTTGCAGGCTGCAGCCAGGAACACATGCTGGGGAACACACTGCATCCCCTCTGCCTCTCCCTCCTCCCACACTGTCTTGGTGCTCCCTGACAATCTGTTTCAATTCCCCTTCACTTCAGCATGACCAGGGTCCCCGGGGTTACCCAGTGATTCATCTCTCTGGAATTTGGGAGTGCTGCTTCTCTACTCCTACCCAGACTGGCAAGGGGGTTATTAAAGCATCAGAGATTAACCAGAACCTCTTTTGGTGAATATTTAGGTGAAGAGCACTTGATGCCAGACGTTATTTTCCGTGTGTGTTCTGACACCAGACTTCACTACTGCACCTCACGTTTCTCTGTGTGCGTGGGTTTGAACACCTTTTCCAACCACAACCGTATTAGAGGACCCCTGCTGCTTTGGGAATGCACATTGGGAATGACTTCAAGTGGAAGCGTGTTTGGATTGTCCTACTTCTATTTCTGAAGCCCTCTCAAGGGAGCTCGCTCTCTCTTCTCACCCCATCGCTTCCGATGGGGCCGAGTCATTGCATTCCGTGCGCGCACAGTGACACCTCAGAGAGACTTGGACTGTTCTCTTGTCTCACTTCCACTCTCTTCCAGGCTGGATGCACACCCTGGAGGTATGTGGTTTGTCTCAAGATATAAGACTTCCCCCCTCAGAAACTACATTACTTCAACAAGCCACAAAGGGCTGGCAAGAGGGAGAAGGATTGTTAGCGCAGCTTTCCTGGGAGATCTCCTCTGTGGACTCCACGCAGCTGGAAACAGCCTCTCCCTCTCCTGAGCTCACGTGCGTGGGCAGACACACGTTCCCTCATGCAGCAGTTTCCCTGATGTGTGAGCACAGACATAAACACTTGCTTACAGAGGCACAAATACCTTCCCTGTTGTCCTTGCATGTGTGTGTAGACGTGGAAATTCTCTGAGCGCGCGTGATCGTCACCCCCTGCAGCCCCCAACCTGCTCTTCGTGCAGGTGCATCAGTGCCCCAGAGCACGTGCACCCCTCTCCTGCACGCACAGATACAGGTGCATCTACACAGCCTGCAGAGGTGTTGCAGAATTTGGAGGGAGAGATGAGCAAACTGAGTCTGAAGGGACCTCTTGAGGTTTAATCCAACCACTGTTCCAAGGAGGCTCACACTGGGTTCAGAAAAGGTTGCTCAGGGCTCTGTCCAGTCAGATGTTTAAAACCTCCTGAGTCAGAGATGTGATAGCCCTTTTTTTTTTTTTCCTTATACCCAGGCAGAACCTTCACTCCTTCAATGTTTCTCCTTTTTTTGACCTTTATCCCCCTGCCACACACCTGAGCAAAGAGCCTGGGTCTGTCTCCCTATACATGCCATGTGATGAAGAAGGCTGCAAACTTGAACAGGGTGGACTAACTCCCTTCTCTCAGCTTGTCTCCATAGATCCAGCCCCTTGACTGTCTTCTTGGTGGCTCCCTGTTGCATTTGTTCAGGTTTATCAACATCTTCCTGGTACTTGGGAGCTCACAACTGGGAATACACCAGATGGGATCTAACAGCTCACAGAGGGATAACAGATTCCCTCGGCCTGTTGGCACAGGTGAGTGTGCTGTGAGCTTTCCTTGCTGCCAGGTGAGCTGGGTGTCCAAGTGCTCTTGGCTGGAATTGAAGGGATAACAAAATACTCAATACAAAATCCAAACACCGAGCTTTGCTTCTTACCTGTCTGGGCTCGGATTTAATGGATCTGAGACCTCAAACAGTTCCAGGACCCTCTCCAGGAGATCACAGCAGCTGATCCAGCTTTGGGAGAACAGGATGACCTACCAGATCTCCTGCATGTTTTATTTCTTTGATGTGACCATTTTTGCTCCTCTTTTTTTTTGTTTTGACCTTGGAGGTCCACTGAACATTTTCCCTTTCCTGTATTTGGAGGGATTCAGCCACTTGAAATCCTCCTTTCCCCATGTCCAGTGTCCACACTGGTCACAACCATAACTGCCCAAATCACAGGTTTAAAATCTTGAAGTAGTTAATTTGGGGAAGAACCTCAGACTCCCTGGAGGCTCCTACCTGCCTGTTACCTTGTGAGACATGTGCTGAAGGGGAAGGGTATTTTTTTTCAGCTTGTTTTCAGACCCCAGTTAGGAGATCCCCTGTCCATACACTTTCCAACATAAAGCAGAAGGGAATCCTGAGCAGAGCCCTTCAGGTGAATGGGAAAAATGGAAATACAACTTCAGAGTTTCATTTTGAGAAGAAGAATCTAAAGGAATCTTTCACTTTTTCCAGCCTTTTCCCATTTTTTTGCAGTGAAAAGTGTTTGCTAAATTTTACAAATGCTGTTGGATAACCCAAATCTGGCTAATCCAGTATTGTGGTGACTAAAATAGGAGGCTAAAAAATTCCCCCAGCGCCAGGCTGTGTTCTGTTTGTGAGGCTGATTTCACATAACAGTAACTGTGGTGCAATCCAAACACCTGCCAGGTGGGCATTAAGTGATGTGACCTTGTGACTGTCACAGTCAGCTCGGTTTCAAACCAGGAGAAAATCTGGAGCAGGGTGTAGTTTTTGGGGAGGTGTTTCTTTCTCATTGTAGTTCTTATCTTCACCACATTTTTGTGATTTATTTCTTTTTCTTTGCCGTAAATCAGCCTGCTGGTGAGAAGATGACTTTATCCAGGAACTCTCCACTGCTGAAGGAGCTGAAGGCTAAAGACTCTCATCTGTCCCCAAAAAGCAGGAAGCACAGCCATGGATGAGGTAAGCACAGCAGCCTGAAATGGCTTTGAGTGTTTTACTCAGTGCAGTGCAGGGACCACCAGTGTGTAGAAGTACGTGTTGTACTGGTGGTTAACCAGCAGATCATGGAATGGTGACCTGGGAATGCTTTCAGTCATGGACAGGTGTGGATTTGTATTTATATACATCTGTTTTACCTACCTAAGGCTCAGAGTCGGGGAGACTGATTTTGGGTTTGCTCAAGACCAGTATTTGCTGGAATGACTTGAGATTGATAATATATTAATAGAAAATAGCAGTTGAGATCTATTATATATTTCCAAAGATGCTTACTTGTAAGACTTCAGTAACAATTATTTGTGAACTGTCTTTAAAGTCACACAGATGTGAACACCCCTCTCTGTTCATGTTCCCGTGTGCACCCTCAGTGGGCAGTGTCTGAGGACATGATGCACGTGTGAGAAGGGATTTCTTATTTGGTGTGGACTTCCTTCCACTCAGGCAGTGCCAGGGAGATGTTCATAGAATCACAGACTGTGTTGAGTTGGAAGGGACCTTAAAGTTCATCCAGTCCCACCCGCTGCCATGGGCAGGGACACCTCCCACTAGCCCAGGTTGCTCCAA